CCAAACAACCGTCCTGTTTATTAGATTTTCAATCAACACTGATCTTCAACCTTTGATTCAATGTTAGTTAAACTTACTGTAATATTTCAGCTTTCCGTGGTTTTTGACCTGTGTTTATCAAACTTGGTTGATGAACGTTCATTCTATTAGAGAAAGAAAAGAAAACTATTTTATTAGATATAGGATCAATAAACTATGAACGTAATTTTTTACTATAAAGCAACCACGCCCATTAATTGGTCAAAGAATAACAATGAAATATTTCACAAAATCTGATTAAAATCAACTAAATTTCAGGTTGTTGTTGTTTTAAATCGTATTATCACAACGACAGTAAATTACTAATCTTTATGTTCTCCAAATCCTAATAAATCTTTGTCAGTTGTCAGCAATCTTTCACTCTCACTTGTAAATAATATAAATACATGTACTTTTTCTATGAATAGTTTTACTATTCACTTTTGCTCATCAAATTTATTTAAATTCTCTCGATGTTCACAAAATTAGAACAAATCAAACTTTTATAAACATTGAGTTTGCGGATACCGTCTATTATTTGTACAAGTTAGTTTCAAGCTGCGCGTGACATATTGGTTAGCGTACTTCTAATGTCAATATCTAGAGGATTCATGATTCGCAACACGTTGCAGAGAGAACGCGTTCTGTTCTTTGTAAAAGCACAAAGAAAAGAAAACAGTAATGGTCAGGGCTGCTTTTTTATTTGATATATAACTTTTTATTTATTATTTGTTGGCTAAAATGTGTAAATTCCATTTCTGAAACGCTTTTATTTCACTTATAATCGTTAGTACGCCTTAAGGTTGTCAGGGGAAAATACTAGAAATTATCGCAAGTTTTCTTCACTAAAAGAATTATAAAAACCTAAAAGATGAAGGCACATCTTTCTTTAACTAAATAGAACATTCAGTGATAACATTAAACACGTGACAGTAATAAAATTGAACAGTTTACTTCTACAGTATTAAATATACTCCTGTATTTGAAGTTAAAGTTTTACTCTTATAGTGTTGTTTTGAAATAAGTTTCGAAAGATTTAGCTCGGTATAAAAACTAAATTGAAATGAAGAAATTAATGCTCCAATGTATATAAATTCACACCAGTGTCTTTCAAAAATATATTTTTTTGTGCCGCACCTTTAAGGTTTCATATTTTTTAAGGCAATCGGGCATCAATCGTTGTCAAGGTTACTACATGATCGCCAAAAATTAACTACAAATTAGTAATAAGAAATTATTATTCATTGGATACTAAATTCTAATTAGCTTATATCGACTGCTAAGCTGTTATCGTCTTCAAGGAAACCATGAAAGAGACTAATAAATGTTTGGAGAAGGCTTGAATGGGTAATGAAGAAAACTTTATTATAAATATACAACGTTTCGACAAGATTATGTCATCAACAGATACAATATTTTTCCTTATTTCTTTGCTTGTTTTCAATGCAGTATTTTAATAGAAATAGGAAGACTGTACTTATAACCAAGTTCCAACTGTAATATTTATTGTTTATCTATTTATTGGTTAGTAATTCGTGTTTCACCCTGTACTTAAGCTTTTTGTAGTAACAACAAATGTAGGTAAGAAAGCTAGCGTCAAGGAGTAATGATAACACCGTCTGCACTAGAATTATGATTTTTTTACAATTACAACTAGTAAATAATAATTATACAAGCGGACACTACATTTGGCCCCCAGTGGCACAGCGGTATGTCTGCGGACTTATAACGCTAGAATCCGGGTTTCGATACCCGTGGTG